AAAAACAAAACATCGTTCACATATCCTAGGCCTGGAACTCTGTCAAACACTTCAAAATGCTTAATTGTACAAGAAACAAATTCAAAATGAAAATAGGACATATTTACAATGCAATAGCCATTAAAACCCATATGTCAAAACATGTAAAATATTGCTATTATTGCTAAAGTAGTATTTAGAAGGAAATGATGGCCTTGAATTAATCTTAAAAAAAAGAAGACATTCTGAAATTAATGTGCTAATGTTAGAAAATGGGACTCAAAGCATTCTATGTTAATAATAGTGTAATATTGATAATGCATTATAATAAATTTTAATAATAAATATTAGAAGAAAAAACAAAATAAGAAACTAGAAAGCAGAGGAACAAAATATCTAAACCTGGCTATTTAAATGACAAAAATAGGAAAAATTCTGGCAAAATCATTTAAGTCATAAATGAGAAGATTCAAATCAGTATTAATAATGGAAAACTGGAACATAGTCAGACTGTCAGATATAGTAATAAGTCCTGAGAATACCATAAATTTGAAAACAAAGATGAAATGAGCAATTTTTAAAAAAAACATAACTTATCAAAATGTGCTTTTCAAATGGTTCAAATAACCTATAATCAATAAGAAAATAAAATTAATAGTTTGAAATCCTTATCTTCCTAAAAATGCTTGAGATAGTTTTTCATACAAACTCTAATAAAATAGAAATTTTAAAAAAAGGTTATCTCTAGCTTAACTTTTATGGACTAGAAATAGAAAGTTCACTCACTAGAATTCTTTCAATAGAATTATAAAGGCTAGGTAGGCGTGGTGGGAAACACGTGACACCTCAGCTTCACAGGAGGCTGAGGAAAGAATCTTGTAAATTCAAGGTCAGTCTGGCCTGCATAGAGATATCCACATTTCAAAAAAGGAGAGGGAGACAGGATAAAAAAGCATTTAAATGTCAAACATATGATGAAGTATGACAAACGGAATATTAATAGGGCAATCTAACATGTTTGGAAGGAAAGACAAAGGCCACATGTTTTCTCTCATATGTGGAAGATAGATCCAAAAGATAAACATACACACAAAAGCAAGCATGATCATATACAAACTCATATGTAGAATATGTTTGTAACACTGGAACTACTCTATGGAACTTGGTGAAAGAGGGAAAGGAAAAGCGAATGATAGAGCATCAGTAATATCATAAAACATATATAATATGTAAAACTGTGAAGGTAGAGGATATAAGGATGTGTATTGTAAGCTGTTGAAAACCAGGGGATGGGAGAGGTAAATGGGTAAGGAAGAGTAATGGAAGGGATTGAATGGATCAAATAAAGTACACCCACAGCTGGGATACTTTGAGAAACCCCTTTGAATATCAACTTAAATACTAATAATGAAAGACAGGACTGTACGCACTGTAGTACCCTCCCCCCATACACACACTGTAGTGGGAGGGAGAGGGTGAATGAGGAGATTAAGATGAGGGTGTATGGTTAATGGACTTCATACACCTTTATGAAATAGAACAAAGAAACCTCTTACAACTGCTTTGAATGGGGCTTAGGAGAGGGGTGAGGGGAATAGATGATGGCAGCAATGTAACTAATGTGTAGCAGAAGCCTAAACAGAATTGTCACTATGAATCTCCCAATGTATAGCAAAAATAATTTATAATAAAAAATTCAAAAAAACTGTTAGGAAGGAAATGTTTGGCTTCGCGCATTGTAAATTTTGAGGTGTTATAGAAGGCAATGTGAAATTTACTACTGAGTTACACTAACAGAGATCAATCCCTTGGGTGAGTAAATGTTTTTAGATCATGAAAGGCTGCAGTTTATTTTTTCATTAATTGTGTATTGCACATGAACCCAAATCTTGAAAGAGTTTGTAAACCTTTGGGAATTTGATGTATATTTCAAAGCCTCATTCCAACATTTCCATGTAATCTAGGGTTCCAGTTTCTGAAAGTAAATGTCTTAAGGGCAAGTGGAGAGCAATTTCTCAGCAGGTCATGTAAGACTTACATTTTGTTTGAACTTGTACTATTTGACTGATCTAATTACTAATTAGCTAGTCAAGATATTAGATTCATGTTATTAAAGAGTTATAACTCAGTATGTCCCAAACTTTTTACATTTTTCAACTTCTATTTACAAATTTACTTCTCAAAAATCTCTATATGGTAAGTTTTATGGCTAAGGACATTTATTCATAGGAAATACAACTTGCCCAAGTCACACAATGGCTAGCGGTGATGTCAAGGTTTGGTTCCAGGTAGACTTATTACAGAGTGACATTAAAACAGCACTATGCTGTTGTGTTCGCTTATTTTTTGAATTTGTACTCATGTCTTCTTTTCAAAGGCTGCAAAAGCATACATTGCAAAAGAGCAAACTTCCTGAAAACGTTGCCTGGAAAAGGTAATCCTGAATTTCCACCCAGAAGACTGGCTTTCTGCATCGCTTTCACTTGGTAAACATCACTGTTTTATCAAAACATAAAGTGATGGCTACAATGGTGTTTTAGATTCTCATGCCTGCCCAACTTTATTCTTTATGTTGAATGTAATTACATCATAGAAATGAAAAGAAGATTTATTTCTCCAGGAACTCTATCTCTCTGTTCTATAGCCTGTAATGGATTTTTTGTAAATTCTTATTAAATGCCATCTTTCTGGGAGAGAAAATAACAGATCCACACCTGCTACAGTCATATGTGTAATAAATGTGAATTTATAAGAAGGATTGTCATAAATTTATGACAATAAATGAAAGAAGCAAAACTTTAAATTTTACTTTCTTTTAGATAACCCATGAACTTAAATGTGTATATATTTCATATATATATATATATATATACATTTATTTATTTATGTAGATACTGAGTATTTTATGGGTACTCAGATGGAGCATCCTGTGAGCAGTACATAGTTTTACTTTCTTGAATTAATTGATGGTGGAATTAGGCAGCTACTTTTCTTGAATATACACTTATGATTCTCAAGGGTGGGTGAGGGCACCTTTCTGTCTTAGAGAATGCTTATAGTAGAATTGCAGGTCATCAAACATGGAGGAGAAAAACTGGAAAAGAAATAAAACAGTATCTTCTTCTCTGCCTACAGACAGCATATCACTTATATAAAGAGTAGTTGTTTATTTTTGCTTTCATTTCATACAATAAAATTTAATTTTCAGTGAAATATCATTTATGCAAACATTTTTTCTTAATGTACAATTGTTTTGATAGAAATTAAAATTTTAGATTTCATATTCCCTTGCCCTTTCTAGTTGAAGATATTAAAGATTCAGTGCAATAATTGTTATTAACATGGACTGTTTTAATTATTTATGTGTATTTTTACCTGATCAAATTTTCTGGAGTTTTAGATAGCTTTATGGTTGGAAGGATTTTTTTTTACAGTTTTTTAATAGTTTTCTGCAAGCCTCTTTTCTTGCTGCTCTCCTGCTCTTCTTACTACCCTCAGATTTATTTAATTGCTTTCTCTTTGTCTCCCCACTCCTTTCAAATTTGGTTTCTTCATTCTGATCTCTTACAGGTATGTTACAATTATTTCTTAAGCAAAACAATGATATAGCACTAAGAGACCTCCATTGTGGGATGATAAGTAAATGAATATTAATAAATTGGTATTGTGATATCTGTATTAGTTTCTTAAGAATGTTTTGTTTAGATTCAGGTTTCTGTAACAGATTTTAAGACATCAGATAAATAGCTTCAAATAAATGAAGTAGAATTGCCTGTCTTCTCTTGGCATCTGTCAAGTATAAACTAATGGGCTTTTCTCTGACAGATCAGCAATTTCAGTTTCCGAATTAAGAGGAATAACTCTTCATTCACAGTGAGAGAGAGCTAATATGATTCACCTTTGGGCAACCATTCTAGTGGAGAAGGTTTCTATACTATTTGGGAATATATAAGGAAATTTATTCAGTTATGTGGTACCTTATTCAAAAATTGCAGTATCCACTAAATGAAATGGAAGCAAACTTGCTCCATCTAGCTGTCTCTCTCTCTGCTGACTTCTACAATGTTTTAGCTTCTGTGTAACAAAAATGTGTTAGTCCGATTTATGTTGTACATGATGAAGTTCAGAACATCCACTGAAGATGGTGCAGTTTCAGAGTCATCGTTTAATAGACCTATGTAGAGCTGTATCTTAGCAACTCTGATTCTTTCTCTTACAGTAGTATATAATTTCCTGATTCAAAGATATGGCTCTCTTCTCGTGTACTGTTGGAGATAATAATCCATATAATTTATTGATTTAAACTTCTGTTTTTACAAAAAATATTAGGAAATGATAGCTATACAGGGGATACAGAGATTGGAGCCGTTTCTGTAAGTTCTTTGTGCTGGCACAATGTCCATTTATGTATAATCCTTTATGCTTCTTGGTTCCCTGGTGTAGAGAATGTTAGTATGTTAGATTTAGAGAATGTTATGTATGTTAAGTCATGTAGGTAGGTTGGGAAAGTGAAATTACTTTTTTGTCATCAAGCATACATAAAAGCATTTATTGATTTTATTTTTAGGCAATCACTCCCTAATGACACTAATGCTATATTTCTAAACATTTTCATTAGCATATATTAATTGTACAGGGTCTCACTGTAATATTTTCATATATGCTTAAAATTAATCCTAGAAACTATTTTTATATCATTAGAGGTAGATTGGAAACTATGTTGTCATACTGTCATAATGCCCAGATAAAGAGGGTAAGCAGTCTTATTTTAATGATATAAACACAAAATTGTTAGACTTGAAAACTGTACTTTTTCTCAAAGTGAAGTATTCAAGGAATTAATCCTGAGAACAAAACAAAAGGTCACAGACTTAAAGAGGAAAATTCAACATGGTTGGGTGGAGCCTGTTACATTGAGTCTTTGTCTTTGAACTTTTAAGAGTTCTTTGGAAATGATGAAGTCATTGAGCAGAACAACCTATCAGATCTAAAACAACCAAGATGGTTATGAAAATCTACATTGGAAATCAGAAAAATATCTCATGTATTCCTTTTCTCTTGTTTCTTCCTACAGGTAATATTTGCCATAAATGGTCACTTCAAACTATTCTTCAGTGATTGAGTTTATCCTTGAAGGGTTAATACAATGCCCAGTGCTTCAATTACCACTCTTTCTCCTGTTTCTTGGTATATATGTGGTCACAGTGGTGGGGAATCTTGGCATGATCCTCTTAATAACTATCAGTTCTCAACTTCACTCTCCAATGTATTATTTTCTCAGTCATTTGTCCTTCATTGATCTCTGCTACTCCTCTGTCATTACCCCTAAGATGCTGGTCAACTTTGTGTCAGAGAGGAACATCATCTCCTTTCTGGAGTGCATGACACAACTTTACTTCTTTCTGATTTTTGTCATTGCAGAAGGCTACCTTCTGACAGCCATGGCATATGACTGTTATGTTGCTATCTGTAGCCCTCTGATTTATAATCTTGTCATGTCCCACAGGGTCTGTTTCATAATGATGGCTGTGGTATACTCACTGGGTTTCTTTGGGGCCATAGTCCATACCACCTGCATGTCAGTGTTGTCCTTCTGTGAGTCTCATATTGTCAGCCATTATTTTTGTGATATTGTGCCCTTGTTGAGTCTGTCTTGCTCTAACACTCACATCAGTGAGGTGTTGCTGTTTATTATTGAAGGAGTTAACACTTTAGCACCCACACTCGCTGTTCTCATCTCTTACGCGTTCATCCTCTCTAGTATTCTCCGTAATCGTTCCACTGAAGGACGGTCCAAAGCCTTTGGTACTTGTAGCTCTCATCTTATGGCTGTGGGCATCTTTTTTGGGTCTATAACATTCATGTATTTCAAGCCACCTTCCAGCACTGCTATGGAACAAGAGAAAGTGTCCTCTGTGTTCTACACCACAGTGATCCCCATGCTGAATCCTCTGATCTACAGCCTGAGGAACAAGGATGTAAAAAATGCACTGAAAAAGGTGACTGGGGGAAGGCGGTCATCCTAACAAAGTAAGTGCTCAAAAAGAGCAAGAAAAGATGAATCAGATGAAAAGTTTCCGTGGGTTCTTTAAAGTCTTCTATCTCTCTTTCAGACAGAAAATTCATCATTATTCATAAAATGTGTATCACCATGTTTAGTAAAGTAAGCCAGGCTCAGAAGGACAAAGGATAAATGCTTTTCCTTATATACATGCATGCATATACATATACCTGTATGTGTATATATATACGTATATATATATATACGTATATATCTATATATCTATATATCTATATATATCTATATATATATATCTATATATATATATATATATATATATATATATATACGTATATATATATATATATAGAGAGAGAGAGAGAGAGAGAGAGAACATGATTGTATTTTTGGATCTGTCTGAGGGGACTACATGGAATTAGGAGAAGAAAAAAGGATGAGCATGAATAATATTGAAATGCAATGGATTTGTGCATGAAGATAGTATAATGAAATGCACTGTAAACTACTGAACAATAGAGAAAGATAATGCAATAGAGTGGATTAATCTGATTAAAGCATTACATATATGTATATATCTGAAATACCAAGGAGAACCCTCCTTGAATAATCAATATACATCCAATAAAATGAAGCACAGGAAGGTAAATCACGTCCTTTTTGGAAATGGGTACTAGTAGGAGGGTGAAGGATAAACAGAGAAGGTGAAGGAGGGTGAGTGTGGTGGATGTATTTTGCATTGGTGTATAAATATAGAACAATAAAACTTGTTGAAATTGTTCTAAGGAGGTGAGCGAGAATGAGTGAGTATAATGGAGGTGGTGAATCTAATTAAATATATTATATAAATGCATATGTTAAAGTCATAGTGTATCCCCTGTACAACTATTATATGCAAATAAAATATAAAATAAAATATTTGTCTTATTCTTGAGAATGATCCAGTGTAATTTTCTGAGAGTTGATATTATCCTTTGAAATGTTTCAGAGAAATAGGAATTTGACAAAAGAGGGAGAGTAAATTAAGTTTTCTGCTGAAAATTCAAGTTTATGAAATCATATGGGAAGGAGGGTCTTTCTGAATATTAGGACAAGAATGTTTCTGCCTGAATTTGCATGAAAATTCTGTTAATATTCCATTTTCTGTGGAAGTCAATCTATCAGTTTTCCTCACATGTTGTTTCACTCACTGTGAAGAGAAATTGCACAGAACCAGCTGTCTTAGTCACCTTGGGGATACTGTTGGTTTTATTTATCTCATTTCTTTTCTAAAAAAAATCTTGAATTTTATTATACTATAATTTTTAAGTTAAACACACTTTGATGATCGCAAAATATAAGATTTAAATTAAGCATAATAAAGACTGTAAGACAGTAGTCTAATGATCAACAGAGAATATAAAATATTCCTTATAAATAAGAATGTATTTCAGTGGATTAGTTTCTAGTGTGCAAAAAAACAAGTATGGGTATAAATGGGAAATTTATTTTGATGACTATGACCTTTTCCCACATCTCACATTTCTATAACATCATCTCATATATTTATGATGAGATCCTATATTGTCACAAGTTTCAGCTTGACAATCACCTGCCTGCACACACTGATACCCAGGTATGTACAGTGAGGGAGGAATTCTTCATCTCATGGAGCTAATAACAAATGAAGGTCTTGGAATCTGAGTTAGATTCCCATTGCATCTGTAAGAATTTTCCACCAATTTAGTGAGTTAAAACAATAAATATTTATTCTCTTACAGTTCTAGAGAGCAGACATTCAAAAATACTTTGAAGGGGACAAGTTACTCGTTCTTTCAGGAATTTCTAGGGTAGAATCTATTTCTTGCCTCTTCCAAGTTCATGTGGCTGTGGCATGCCTTCGTTTGTAGTTGTATCATTCCAATTTCTGGCTTTGTAGTCACAAAAGAAGACTTGTGTGAAATTTTTCTCTGTCGTATCTTCATTTGATTGGGTTTAAGATCCACTTAGATTTTCCTTGATAATCTGCCCATATCATGATCCCAAACATAGTCACCTCGGCAAAGTCTATTTTTCCCTTTTCCATATAAAGTTGCATTCACAGGTGCTATGGAATATGGTGTGGATATCTTTGGGGAGATACTGTCAGCCTGCTACATGTCTTCAGGGACACAAATACCTCTGAGATTAATTTAAATTCATTTTCTCTCCAGTATTCAGAGTATTGAATACTCTGAATGGAGTATCATGGAAAAATTAATTATGCCAATTAACTAAAATTAATTCCCAAATTAACTTTATTAATCACAAACTACAAAATGTTAATTTCACTCATTCAAGGTATATATCCAAATGCTTGAAAGAAAAACATATGCTGAGTCCAAGTTATTATCAGTGCCTATCATTATATAGAAATGATGCTTTCATTTGTTTCATGGTCTGCATCTTAGAGAGTCATCATTAAAGGCATTCATTGTCCTTTAATATCTGTCATTTATAACAAACACTAGTACCATGGCCAGTCATGATGATCTTACTTCTTTTTGCTCTTGGAACTAATTGTTTTCTTGGAATGATTAGAAGGAGAGCCTCTTCTACATTCAATAAAATTGTTTATTTCAGTCAGATGGTATCTAAGCTGGAGTGAAGTCATGAGTAGTTCCTAAATGCTATTCACAAGCAGTAAATCTACTTCCACCATCACATATGTACAGAATAGTTTTGCAGAAGGACATTGGCATAAATGAGACAACAGGTACACATGATAGGACATTACTTCTTCCACTGTCATAGGGATGAATTGTGGAGTTTATTAATTCCTTACTTCCTACAGGAACTCCTACTTTAAAATTACATTTGGAATTATGCATTATGTCTTAGTATGACTTCCCTATGAAGTAAAAGTTTCTACTTTCCAGATAAGAAAATTAAAGATCAGGACTGGGCATGGCAGGTCACTCCTGTAATCTCAGCTACTTAGCAGACAGAGGTAGGAGGGATCAGGGCCCATTGGTGGCCCAGACAAATACATACACCTTTATCAAAAACAAAATAAAACTAAAAAGGTTGGCGGAGTGACTCAAGTGCAAGAGCGCCTGTCTACCAAGCATAAGGCCCTGAGTTCAATAAAAAACTGAAAGAAAAAGAAAAACACACCAACAAAAGAAAGCCAAAATTTAAAGTTCAAAACTTTAAATTGGCTTGATCACAGATAACAATTATAAAACAAGAGCACAGTCTGAGTCTCCTAAATGTCAATCCAAGATTCTTTCTACTTTTCATCAAGAAAAATTCTGGGGAAGAAATTTAAAGGGTTTCTAACATGACTCCTAAATTAATGAATATTTACACCACAAATGCTATCCTGTTGTATCTGGTGTTTGTTTTCTTATCATAAAAGTTACAGTACTAAGAAATTTGGAAAATAATGTACTTAGGTCATGTTTTGTAAATGATGATTCCTCATGTTGGAGTCTCACTGACTTCCTCAGTCATTTACTTTGGTGAAAAGAAAATTACACATGTGAAGCATCTTATCCAATGTCTACTATGCAATGGGCATCTATGATATAAAGAATAGTAGTTATATTTGACACCATTATATTTATTACAGGATATTAAGAACTTAAACGTGTTTCTGTGTGAATCAAGTTCAGAATCAATTTTATTAACATATTATGTGAATGTGAAATTTACTAGAGATCTTTGGATGCTTTTCAATGAACTTCATTAAAGAAGAAACTAAAAACAGAAACAAAACCAAAACACACATGGCATTTCTTGTAGGCCAGGCACAAAGTAGCTGAAGTGACAGTTAAGTGCCACATCTCCTTTGACAGTGGCTCTCTATCAGGAGAGTATATTCCTGATTGAATACAAAGCACCTTAAGCAGGAGTAACAGTGGCAAGTCCAAGAAATCTGCTTAAGTCATTGAATGACATAACCTGAGGTCACAAGATACAGTACAGGAGCAGAGGCAGAATAATTACTGACTCCTGCTTCAGTGGGAAAGAGATCATGGTAATTTTTTTCTCAGGGTCCTAGAAGATTCTGACCAAAGTCTCTTGAACAAGAACAAACAAATCCTCTAACCTGGGTTAGTCAGTCTCAGAATCTGGATTTTCCAAGACGATAATTTGGATTTTCAGTGAAGGAATTGAAGCATTGCCTAAAATTTGGTGTGGCAAATAAAAGCACTCAAACACAATACACAAATAACAATAAGCAAGCAACCAAAAATCCAAAAATATAACTACAATCTACTGTTAGAACCATTAAGATAAAGGTAAGAGTACTGTGAACTCCCATAACATTTGTCAAACTAAACAGGACAAATCCAAAAAAGACAGTCTATAAATTGAAAAAAATTAGTTTTAGGAAATATCTATACTGTTATTATAACCTGCTTTTCTTTTTACTACTTAATGAAACTTCAGTCAAGAACAAGAAACTGATTTGGGGAGTGACTAATCTGCTATGGAATCCTCACTTATAAGATGAGATTATAAATAAGGAACTTTTTTCAGACCATCAGCATTATTGGGAAAGATAACTATTAGGGGTGGGGGAAGAATATGATGTGATCATTTCTGCAGAGATCCAGTAAATACTGAGCATTCTGATAATCTCAGGGTACTATTGCTTGGGAGATTTGTACATACATGAGTGTGTTTTGATTCTAATGAGTTCTCTAGGCTAATTAAACTTCAGATAAAAGCTGCGTATAACACCTTCCTCTGCTTTTCATATGGGAGAAAACAAATATCATGTTATACTTCAAGGTGCTGAGAGTTTTTACTATCAGATAAGATGTGATGTTTTACTTTTATCCAACAAAATAATTCATCCCTTGACATGTAAACATTTTCAGCAGTCAGTAGGAGAGAATTTCTCTTTGTTAGTCATACAGGGAGCTCTGACCTGGGCAGGACAAGCAGTTTTTAAGAAGCTCAATCTCTGAACAGGACTCAAGTGAGTATCCAGTTCCAAATGTGACAATTGTGTCACATCTAATATATGGGCAATTGGATTGATAG